TCATGTAATTCTAGTGCTTCCATAATCCAGTAAGATGAATAAGATTTAATTATGCCTACTAGGTAAATGTTATAAAGGTATCAGATTGACTTAGGTAAGGTCATATGGACCATGAGTGGCAGAGGAAAAGAAAATATAAGTCTCATGCGTTCCTACTTTCACTCCAACACCAAATGTGACATTACCACCTATCTTGTTGTGAGACGGCAACTGAATTTCAGGAATTGGGGATGGCTATCAAGGTGTGTGTGCGTGTGCATGTATGTGTGTGTTCTGTGGGTTATGCTGATGGGTTCTATCCATCTAATTTCTCATATTGTTACATCAAAACATGTTCTTTTAAAAACCAAACAAGGAGAAAATGAGGGGTCAAAACAACATCTAGTCACTAAATGTTTGCTGCACAAGCCTGAGGCTCTGGATTCAATCCCCCACAACATATATGGGGAAAAAAAAAACAGCCTGGAAATTAAGGCCCGATCCAGTCCAAAGACAAGGTGGACAGCACACACTGGACTAGATGGATAAACAAAAAAGATGACAGAAATCTCAAAGATGGATAGGAAAGAGGGAATGGGAGAGTGGAAAGGGGGATATGGTAGGGAGAATGCATATGTTCAAAATACATTAAATGAAATTTTCAAAGAATTAATAAAAATAGTGGGGTGTTTGTTTTGTTTTGTATATTTTGTTTAAAACCCAGTGTGGTAGCAAATACTTATAATCCCAGCATTGGAGAAGCAAAGACAAGCAAGTTCCTGGGGCTTCCTGGCCAGGCAGCGTAGCCCATTTGATGAGATACAGCCTAAAAAGAGAATCTGCCTCCAGTAAAAAAAATGGGTGGACATGCAGTAGGATCAAAACCCAGTGGCATTGTCCTTGACTTCTCAGCAGCCCTCATTGTCCGCCATATTCAGAGAGCCTGGTTTTATCCCACCTAGCTTGTTTGGATATTCACCTTCCTAGACCTGGATGGAGTGGGGAGGACCTTGGACTGCCCACAGGGCAGGGAACCCTGACTGCTCTTTGGACTGGAGAGGGAGGGGGAGGGGAATGGGGCTTGGGAAGTGGGGGGAAGGGGAGTGAAAAGGGAGGCGGGGAGGAGACGGAAATTTTTAACAAAAAAAAAATTTAATAAAAAAAAACAAGTACATAAGCAAAAAAAAAAATAGGTGGACAGCTCCTAAGGAATGATACTTGAGTTTGTTATGTGGCATTCACAACCATGCACACAAGAACAATGTTCATACACACACACACACACAACTCAAATGACCTAGTAATAATACGGCCTTTTACTAGAAATTTGGCCAGTGATCCCAAAGTATGAGACTCTCCAAACTAGGATAGTTTAACTTCACCCCTAGCTGCAAACTGAAAAATAATAAGATCCCATTTCCTACTAGGGCAAACACAGGTGACACAGTTGAATTTTTAGCACCCTAACAAGAAAACCAGTTTTCATGTAACCTTGAAACACTCAAGAGCAAATCTGGGTTTTATTATTAATAGACTTGGGATTCTGAGCCCAATAAAGTGAATCAAATAAAACATAGTCTAATGTCATAACATTCGTAACAGATTTTAAAATGTTTCTTACATTTTCAAATTATCTGTTCTATCTAAAGAAAGAATATCTTCCATTCAACCTTTTATTTATACTTGGTGGCTTCATCGGACATATTCTTCGTAGATTTATTCTACCTGTGACTTGCCACAAGACTCCTTGCCTGTCACAGTCAAACAGAAAATTACCTAAGCTTGTCTTCCTACTGACCTTATGCTTCTAAGAACAAATTTCTGAAGAAATTGACTAGTATTTGATAAACTGTCACAAGTATTGTGGGCTTGTTGGCACACTTTTCAAAAGAAATCTATTCTTGGAAATACGTGTGTCAGGTTCAAAAGAAACTGGAGACAAGTCTCACTTAATGCCCGTAGCTCCTCCCAGGACTTCTCACCCAGCCTCCTCCCAGGGGCTGTGTAGCTTCCCTCCCCCCAGCTTCTCTTTCCTATATAACCTCAGGCATTTTAGCCATGAGTACTCTTGGTTCTTCTCTCTTGTTCTCTTGGCACCTAGCTGGCTTGATCTTGGCCTCTTTGCCCTCTTGGCTCGCTCTCTCTCTCTCTCTCTCTCTCTCTCTCTCTCTCTCTCTCTTTCTCTCTTCCTCTGTCTCTGTTTGTCTCTCTCTTTCTCTGTTGTGTGTGTGTGTGTGTGTGTGTGTGTGTGTGTCTATGTCTCCCTATGGAACATTGGCCTCCCTGACCCTAAGCCTCTGTCACCCTCNCTCTCTCTCTCTCTCTCTCTCTCTCTCTCTCTCTCTCTCTTTCTCTCTTCCTCTGTCTCTGTTTGTCTCTCTCTTTCTCTGTCTCTTTCTCTCCCCTTGTCCTCCTATGGCCCTGTCAATCTGGATCCTTCCAGATGCCTATGACTGAACTCTTTCTCATATCTACAATAAAACTCTTCTCGTCAGCTAGGATGGGTCATGTGCCCATATTCACTCGGCCTCTACTTTGTTTTCTATCTTGGCATCTTATAGGTATATCTGACTAGCACAGTATTTTAGATGGAACAAGAGTATGATCTTTATATAAAAAGTGCACCTATTATACACTGGATAGTAACAAAGTTACTCATGTTAGGAAAGAAAAGAAATGGAATCAACTTGATGAGTAAAGTCCAGCCAGGTGTGAACAGAGGCTCATGGGCTGGAAAATTTGACAATAGTAAAATCAGAAAAGTTCTTAACTATCCCAGGAAATCATTTCAATACAGTAAAGTAATCTTCATCAATATTTTAGTTTATTAACAGCATCTGTTTCTATATTTTATTTATTTGCTTATTTGTTTGTTTTTGAGACAGGCACAGGGTTTCTCCATGTAGCCTTGACTGACCTGGAACTTACCATGTAGACCAAACTGTCTCTGTATTTTAAATGAATTAGGTAAATTCAAATTTACCTAAAGCACATTAGGTAAATAAAAGTTTCAACTACTTTATTAAAAGGTGAAAGACCACTAATGATTTTAGAAGGCATTTCTCAATACAGACTCTTATGAAGAAACATGCAAATAGCATTCACATGATTAGTTACTCCATTATGGACAGAGTTCAAAACATGCATTGAAAGTAAAGATGAAAGGACTAAAGGGTATACTGTGTGACACACTGGACTACAGCTTCCGCAATGAGATCCCACTCCTGTTTTTGTTTATTTGTTTGGGTGGGTGGTTAATTAATTGGTTGGTTGGTTTTTGTTTTGGTTTTGTTGCTGTTGTTTGCTTTGTGTGGTTTTTGGTTTTTCTTTCAGATTTTGTTTTGTTTTGGGAGGGAGGTTGCAAGGGAGGAGGGGGATTTGGTGGGGCTATGGAGATGGGTGGGGATTGGGATACATGATGTGGCATCCACAAAGAATCAACAAAAGTTTGAAGAATAAAAAATGTGTTAAAATCTAAATTCAAACTAAACTAATTTTTTAAACTATTTTTAGGAACTGAGGCTGTAATTTAGTTGGTACAGTGCTTATCTAGTACACTCAAAGCCCTGGGTGAAAGCTACAGCGCTGCTTGAGTCCGGCTGGTGGCCCATGCCCCTAATATAAGCATTCAGGAGGTGGAGACAGAAAATCAGCACTTCAAGGTCAGTCATCCTCAGCTACACAAGTTGGAGATCAGCCTGGAGATCAGCCTGGACTACATGACATCCTGTTTTTAAAAAAGTATTTAAACACATGTATCTTGTATTATCTTGAAAGTAGACTTTTTAATTTACTTACAAGTTAGTGATGCTGTTATTTCAACAAATAGCGAGCTGCCCACAGTGCATCACTGTCCCCATACCCCATCTTTGCACACTCAAAGCATACATGTTAAGTGCTCAGTATGCACAAGGTAGCTAGCTCTGTCTGTCAACAATTCGCTCATTCTTAACCAAGCTCACAACATTCAGGGAAACCCAGACCTCTCATGTATTCATTTTCCTGCGGATTATGGACCAGAGCATTTGTGCTGATTCAACATCCCACCAAATACAAATCTACCTACGTATTGGGAACTTTACTTATATATTTAGCGACTTTTGTTGTCATCGTCCCTAAAATTTTCTTTTTATTGTTTTTACTGTTACTGTTTTCCCGTCCAAATGGACACTGAACTGCCCGAAGACAAGAAACAGGTGTTTTTACTTTTCTGCCCTGTTATGTTCATTGAGTAAATGAATTCTGTGAGCCCTGAAGCAACTTGGCACACTATCAATCACAAAAGCCATGAAAATACAAACGTGAGCAGAAAACGCTGCATAAAATCCAACTCTTACTTAGGTTTCAATGACTCAGAATTGCTGAAAATTAATGAAACCACAAGCCTTTATAGGGTTGCCCAATTACAAATCAGTTGATTATGAGATGCGGTAACTAAAGTGTCCCTTCCAAATAAATTTCCACTTAGAGTAAAAACAGCTAGGACAGAGGTACATGAAAAGAAAAATCTATCTTATTTCATCATTTCATCTGATCTCTAACATAACCCCAAAACCTGTAGCATCAAATACAATAAACATTTAGAGCCTGTTTGAAATCATAGGCTTGTAAACTGGTCTGTGGGTTTTGTTTGGATTTTGAAGCACTGTGTCCTGTATCCAAATGATATTAAACTCTTGGTCACCCTGACTCCACCTCTCAAGTGTTGGAATGAAAAGTATGCATTACCACACCCCACTGGTCCAAAGATTTAACTGTCTTAATGGAAGAACTTTGGGCAAGAAGCTCGATTTCAAATTTAAACAAACGCTTTTTTCTTTATCTAATACTTCTGTTCACACACATCTTCATAAATCCCAAAGAAGCCTAAGGCACCCCAGTGACTTGAGATCTGCACACCAAACACCTTCCTACCATGAAATCAAGCAAGAAGCTTAAAAATCAGTAACTATCAAACACTTCACAGAAATGCTGTTTCGACAAAAAAAATGAAGATTATTTTTATTTACATGTGGCAAGAATTGACATTAATCTTTTGTAAAGTTTTCATTGTGCTTTAAACTGCTTCTCATTCGTAAATACAGGAAGTAAAAATACTCTAAGGGATTCTGTTTCCCAGTCCTCAATTTAAAACACTTGCTATCTACAACATCCACTTTCAGCTTTGACATGGGAGAGATGCTCCTATTACAGGACTAGAGTGCTGTTTAAAAGGCATTTACAGTTCACTGAACTGCAGTATCTACAATATACAAGACTTGGCATATACTTAAATTATTGAAAATAAAGGACAGGGTGTGTTAGTCTTCTTCATGGCGCTTTCAGGCAGACATCAGAATCACTTCTCCCTAAAGAAAAAGATTAGAAAAAGTCAAGCAAAATTTGTACAGTGTTAAAATGATAGTTTAACTCAAATTTGTAATATGTAACCCAATGCTATGCCTCAAGCAGCTATTATTTAAAATGCCACCATAAAGAATAGATCATTGGACAGGAAGGAAAGTTACATGCTTTCTAAACTGGAGTTCCATTTACATTTCTATGTCAAAGGGTAACTATTCGTCAATTTAAATCACATTTGAGTCTATTTATCAATTTATGTCTGAGCCTGGTTCCCAAATTATAAAAACTCATTTTATCATAAATACTAATTGTATCAATCAAGACACACCTTCTCACTCAAAACAGAGTATTAACCTGTTCTCATAAAAGAAAAACAGACAGAGTCATCAATTGGCTAGTATTCATTCTTTAGCTCAATCTGTTCACTAATAATAGCTTTGCTCAAGAGAATTGTGAATGACAGTAAAACAACCAAGAGTGCTAATTTGATTTCCTTTGCTACTATAAAATGTCATTCATTCAAACACCATCAGTTCAGAAATCAGAATCACAGGAATTAGGTTACCATTTGCCTTTCTGTGCCAGAAGGGCAAAGGAGGGTTTTTATTAAGCAATAGGGAACATACAGCCCAGGTACTCACTGAACTATCCCATCTTTCAAATCATATGTGCATAGATTACTGAAGTAAAATGGTACTTACTATCTACAAAAAAGGACTAGGAAAAATAAGATAGAAATAAAGAGATTAAAATATCTCGACTTCATAGACTTTCTATAGTTTTACAATTTTATTAAAAGTGTGTATTAGAGCATATTACGGCCCCTTTGCATAGCTACCTCTCACCTGATTTGCTGGCTACAACTACTTCCTTGTTGAATTTTGCTTATGAGTCCTCCTGCTTGTTATGTGGTTATGAATAGGTTGATCCCAACTCTAAACTTCCCAACTGTTTCAAAACTGAGCAAGAAGCCACACTTGCGGTACCTTGTGTACTCCTCACTGAGGACTTCTCAACTGGATACTGCAGCGGTATTACAATGCCTTGATCTGGCTTCTGAAATGCTGAAATGAGATTTTTTATTTTCCGGAAAAATCTTTTATGCACCCCAGGTGCTGTCTGGAAAAGAAAAGATCCGAAAAAAAAAAAATATTTATTTGCCTCATAATGCTTAAAAAAAAAAAAAGACCCGTAAGATGTGAGAGGGATGCTTAGAGAGGTAACATTTGTGTAACTCGCTCCAATATTTGAAAACATAAGGAAGAAAGGAAAACAACAGCCAGAAGAGCTTGCTTTGCTTGGCTGAATTTCCCTGCAAGAGGAGCTAATGAGCTGTCATTGCAGTTCTCCCAAGGGTAGGACTAGTTTGTACAAGCTCTCACAGCCCTGCCCTTGCTGACTGCTACCCATCAGACATCCCGAACCTCTAAGGGTGCACAGGCCATTACCCACAATGAATTCAGCAACAGAGGGGATGCAGTTAAACATAAAAAAAAAAGCACAGATCCTACAGGTCATTAATAAAAAGCCCGAGGAACCAAACCAACAACCCGTCCCCCTGCCATCATTTTCCAACAGAAAATACTACTCAGAAAATTAAAAAGTGAGTGCTATGATGCATACAGCTGCGTGGCTGGCTAATGCTCATGTGCTTTTACCTTGTAATACACACTGACTCATTCTTCATGTTAATTTTGTGTTCTTTTCCCAGATTGCTCTCACAGTCAGCACTGTACCATTCCAAGGCTTTCTATATGACACGAAAATGAAAGACTGTAGAAGGTTCTCTTTATTTATATATTTGTTAGTTTTTAAAGAGATCGCATTTGCAGGTGGCTGTTAGGAATGTATTCTTTCCCTGACATCTGTGCTCTCACAAAGACACTGCCTGAAATCAACATTCCCCACAAAGCTTATGAGCCTTGCTTGAGGCACCATCTCAAAACTGTCATAAAACAAAATAGCATTGCTACAAGCAATTGAACAATGACTAGTTTTGTTTCTTTCTTTTCTTTTCTTTTTAGAAAGTTGTTTTTCAGCTATTCCATCTGGAAGATTTTTTGAGACGGGAACTGCTTGGTTTTTAGCATTTAATGAGCAAACACGAAGGCTGGCACACAGACTTCCGTCAACTAGATGTTAAACTCAAGGTAACAGACTATCCAAAGTCATTCTTGGTTGTTGCCTATGTTGGAGTAGGTAGTTTTCCAGTACAAACACTGCAGATGTTCTCTTTAGCTGTGTATTAGTGTCTGCCTGTACAGTTTCAACAGACAGAGAACGGTCTCTCGCCCATCTCTAGCCTTCTGATCAGAAAACCTTCCTAAATTTCTGCTGAGGCCTCATCTAGAAATAACATGACCGTTCCCACAGAGACTCTTTAGCTCCAGACAGACACTGCAAGTTAGGAAGGCATGCAATGTGTACAAAATACCACCTTAGTTCTTTCTGAGGGCATTTTTTTGTTTGCCAACATACTTTCCCATCTCTTGCCTTCACTGTTTTCTCGTGGATTCTTTCAATTAGTCTCATTTCACAGGTACAAACATTCAACCTAATCATCTTGCATAAAGGAAAATAATAAGCAGATGTGAAGTCGCACATACATACAATCAGAAGCAGCAAAATTTTCTCTTCATTCCTTTCAGATTAGAACTAGACCAAGAAGTTTGAGTGAAGCTGAAGACACCAGCCAGAGGGGAAACTGCGTATTTCCCCAGAGGGGAATCATTTCAAACCACACTTCATTTAGGCTATTTCTTGTGGCTTATAAAAGCATTTTCAACAGAGGCATCATTTCTATGGGGACTGATAGTTAACACTTGATTATCCATCCTGACAGAGAAGACAAATACCACCGGACATTTAGAAGCAATTTGAACTAGAGATGCGGCATTTCTTTAACAAATGACTGAACTAATTTATGATGATTTGCTTAGGCTAATAAGTAATTTGCTTACTAGCTAAGGATCTCCTGGTGACCAACTACCCATAAAAGGCCAAAGGCACAGAAATTGGCAGAGAGCAGTCCACTTTTGACAATGCACTGCTGACAATCTATACATTAATAAATGTTAATCAACTCATCATAAATTTAGCCTCCAAGGGCTAAGTTAATATCCTGAGCAGTGCTCTATCTAAAATGAAAAAGATGCATGTTTGTCTTTTAAAATTCACTAGATTCAAGGTTCAATTTAATATCACATCTTAAAACATATCTATAATTACATAGGGACAGAGGGTAGAATATTCCTGAAGTGATCTTTTCTTATGGTGTGGCAAACTAAAATGGTTTTCCTGAAAGTAGTATAAATGCCACTTATCCCATTTTTGGAAGATTATTTCACACACACACACACACACACACACACACACACACACACACAGAGAGAGAGAGCTTCGCTGCCACTATCCTGTCAGTGAATTCGGTTCATGTTCAAATTTGGGTATTTCCCATACTGCCATCTCTTAGTTATCCATGGAAATATGTTTTGAATCGCAGCTGGTCTTCAATACACTCTGGAGAAATTTCTTCCAGCCAGGTGGTATGAGCTCTGAGAATTACGCACTAGTTTAATATTCACCTTAACAAGAAGGCAAATTTTATAGACAGGAAACTGCAATATGCATTTCATGAAAACAAGACGTTTTTACCTCGTTCCCATTTGGGGATAATCCATGCAAATCTTCTGCTCTCGTGGTGCAAATAATTTCAATATTATTATATAAAGAGGGTCAAATCAGACAACAGGATAAGGGATATTTACACTCAATAAACCCTTTCCTTCTGAAAATGATTACAAATATGCAATGATGTGATATGAAGTCGCATGTGAAATAGAAAAGAAAAAATATAAAATGGGTCTAAGAATCTATATCACAACCCTTTTTCCCAAAGCTTTGGAATCGTTGGGGAAGAGAGGTGAAAAGAGAATAAAGACAAGAAAACCATGTCTTCCAGACCCAGCAGGACAGGTTCACATATGAACTCACAGTGGTTATGACAACATGCACAGGACCTGCGCAAGCCTAACCCAGCATGAAGAGAGGAGGTGTACACAAAGTCCCACTCCTAGGCAAGGAGCTATTGGCAATTGATAGCTACCAGAAGAAGAGCCAGCTTTCTTTAGAAGAATAGCCCCTGATAAATCAATCATGTTTCCGTGGAAGGCCACACATCCAAGAATATTTAGGCAGCACAAATTGAGTTGACAGATTTAGCAAAACAAAGAGTACACAAAATTTTGTAAATAGGGAGAGAGGAGTGGATCTGGGAGGAACTGGAGGACAATGGCAAATATGATCAAAACATACAAAATTGTTTAAGAACTAATTTTTAAATCACAAAAATGTCAAAGATTCTTTCCATAAAATATTTTTATTGCTCAGCTGGAGTATTTCTTGAGAGAAAAGGATTTTTGTGGCAACCCATATACAAATTCACATATACCAGCTACACATGACTATTCCTCATGATAAATCAAATTGCTTACTTATTTGCAGTGATGGACTTTTTTAAAAGGAAAGACAGTTTTGACTAGAAATGATACTGATTTTTCCTTATATAGTATGACAGAATTATCCTGACACAAAATAACAGTGTGACCAGGGAGTGATATAGTATTATATGAAGTAACATAATCAAAGAACGTTATATACTAGTCTTATGAAACACATTACTATGTATAGTGAATATATAGCAATTAAAAAACAAAATTAATTAATTTCTCAGTGGTATCATACTTTCCTGGTATGCTTGAGACCCTGGGTTTTATCCCTAATCCTATTTTTTAAAAAACTAAAATTCCTAAAAGTTAAACACAAAACCTAAAATATGAAATTAACCAATAAATAACAATGTACTTGAATCTACTCTAATTCGTTTTCACAATTTAAATGCTTATAATTTGTACTTTGCTTTTTACTGATAAATTTGTAAGACATTTTAAATTTTTGTCAAAACTTTATAATGTCTTGAATGCACAGATTAATGAAGCTATTAATAGAAGTTAATATTAACATCTATGTTTCCCAAAGATCATAGTGAAATACTTCAACTATCTGGATGGACTATTATAAAGTCAGAAACCAACTAAAGCAAAAGTTTAAAAACTACAATTTTGGACTCACTCAGTAGTTTGTAAGATGGGCTATTCTTTGCTACTTTCTACTATACTATGTAAAAAGAATTCACTCAGTTCTTGGACTGACACAGTGGCTCTCAAATATTTTCAGTCACAAGACACCTTCGTTCTGAACAAATCTTATTCAAATCTCCAGTTCATAAGGAAAGCTAAAGAGAACTTCACAATTAAAGTCAGATAAGTATCCAGAATTACACCCACTCACCTCTCCCTCTCCTGCAACCCCCTTGCTAAGGAGTCCTACGATAGACGAGAACTGTGATTCAGAAAAACATGCCTTTAAAACACTGCAAAAGCAGGTAGGAACTTGTGCATACATGTATGAAATTCTCAAAGAATATTTTTATTAAATAAAAACTGCAATTTTACCTCTTCTCTATCCCTCCTACCCAGAGGCCTCCAATATGGCTCTTATGAGAGTCTTGCTGATGCATTGCAGAGCAGCACCAGTTGTCTGGGTACCTGGAAATGCCTCTATCTCGGGACTCTTGTGCTTGGTAAATTAGCCCTGGACTATACACAATTATGTTGAGAAGCTTTCAGTAGTTCATATTTTTGGATGTTGACTATATGCTAGATTCTGCAGCTAAGAGCTTCTTTACTTGCATTATCTTACACTCCTTGAAATGACTCCTCTCATTTTACAAATTGCTTCCATCAAAAGTAATTATAGAAAGAAGCACATGGAACCTGGATGCACTGGACATGGCCCAGGCCCTCACACTGCGGTTTAATTCCTTGTTATATCTCCTAAGGCTATTAGTGACTAGTAGAAAAGAGAAATTCCAGTTTGCCTGCTTTTATCCACAACAGCACCAATGTAGACATCAGTATTATTCAGTATATGCTTTCTAAAAGTTTGTATAGGCTCTGTAAGTAAGTTAGGCATGATCCATCAAAGTTCTTCATTCTTCAAAGTGATCCCACTCCACACAGGTCTGGAACCAAAATTTTCTAAAGGCTTGTAAATGAACCACCAACAACTGTGGAATTAAGAGTTCATGATTTAAATATGATTAATATTTTGGTAATTTACTATGTCACTTCTGTTTTATAAACAAACCTGAATTTCAAGCACTTTTCTGATACCCAAAGAAGCAAAAGTAAATAAAAGAACTGTACCTCAGCACTCCAAGAACCTGTTTCTGTCTGCGACACTCGATATGTATAGATGTAACCTTGATACCTGTGAAAGAATGCATTTCCATTACTAATAGTTTCCAAAAGAACAATGGATGCTCTAACTTGAATTTACTTTTATCTATAAAACTTACATATACTGGATGTAAATGGACAGCTTCTTGGCAGTCACAGGAAGCAAAGCCATTGGATTTAATTTGCTTGCATTTTATTTCAGCCTAATCACAGTTCCCCCACGATTTTTGTGTGGTTTAATACACCTAAGGATTTGTGTGATAGAGAGACTGGACAAAAAGAAACTACAAACCTGCTGGCACTGACAAAAAAATCCTAATTATGAAACACCTTTAACAGAGTCTTACTGTTTTTTAAGTGTACATAGTCTTAAGCTAAAAATGGTTGACTGAAATAAGATTCAATTAAATTAACTGATAGTATTAATTACCAAAGTAATGTGAGTGTATCATGCTATGAAATATAATTATTCTTATAATATTACTATTATAATAAATAGTAATATTCTATTACTTTATAACATTGTAATTTAGTAGTAATTGTAATTGAATTTTAAAAAGGAGTACTGCACCATGGAATGTTATTCATTCTTTGAAATAATTAAATTCTGCTATTTTCAGCAATATGAATAAAACTGGAGGGTAGGAGGTTAACTAATTCAAGCACAGAAAAACAAAAATATATAAAAATATTGACCTCAAAGAAGTACAGAATAAAATGGTGGCTATCATGAAGCTAGAGAGATAGGTGAAAAGTTAAAACACTTGCTTACTGTAGAATATTAGTGAAAGATGTGTTACATTTGTTTATGCTGTGGAACATTTGTTTAATGATGCAAAGATATGTTGCATTCTTTAATGTTGCATTTGTTTAACTCTGTGAAGCTGTATTACTTTGTCTAAAACATCTGATTGGTCTAATAAACAGCTAAATGACCAATAGCTAGTCTTGAAAAAGAATAGACGGGGCTGGCAGGCAGAGAGAATAAATAGGAGAAATCTGGGAAGAAAAGATTGGTACGTGAAAAGAGAAGGAGACGACACCAGGAACCAACCACCAAGCTACACAACAAGCTGTGTAGTAAGAAGTAAAGAAAGTTATATATAATAGAGAAAGATAAAAGCCCAGAAGCAAAAGATAAATGGGATAATTTAAGTTAAAATAAAGCTGGCTAGAAAAGAGCCAAACTAAGGTCAGACGTTCATAAGAAAGAATAAGCCGATAATGACACTGGGTTTTTGAGATAATGACACCAGGTTTTGATTCTACTGCATGTACTGGCTTTGTGGGAGTCTAGTCTGTTTGGATGCTCACCTTCCTAGACCTGGATGGAGGGGGGAGGGCCTTGGACTTCTCACAGGGCAGGGCACCCTGAGTCCTCTTAAGACTGGAGAGGGNAATATATATATATATATATAGAATAAGCCTCTATGTGATTTATTTGGTAACTGGATGGCAGGGCCCCTAAGGAGTAAAGAGCTAAAAAACAAAACAAAAAAAAAGAAAAAAGAAAAAACATTTTGTCACCCAATGTGGGACTCTCAACAATCCCTAGGGCCTGAGAACACTGAAAAAAAAAAAAAACAATAGATATGGCTCCTTTAAGAAACTCTGACTTACAGAAAAGCATTTAAACAGCATTTTTTACCCTAAATAGAAACAAAAAAATAAGTTTAAAAAATGCCTGCCATAGTGCAGGGAACTGGCATTTCATAGCTAGGGGGTTAAAAGCAGTTCCTGGGCAAACACATCTCCAACTGGGCCATGAGCTTCAGGCTTGTTTCTCATGAACCTAGAAGTGGATGGAGCCAGCCAATAGAGTCTCTCAGAAGACCCAGCTATAGCTTAATAGTTTAAAATTTGCTCACGAAAAGACTAGAGATACACAGCAAAAGAGATACAGATGGGAAAAAACTCTAAACACATTTCAATGTTTTGAACTATGGCATAGGCTTAAGAAAGAAAAGAAAATGGGTATAGACAACCATAGAAATAAAGAAATAGTTTAAAATATTAATAAAGTTCTTAAAGAGAGAGTAAAAGTAATAGAAAAGCCACATAAGATGGGAAATACATAGAGAGTCTGAATCCAATATGGTATTGTGTTGATTTTGAATTTTTTGATTGCTGATAAGCAAAAGAGAGCTGTTAAGATACCTGGCAATGAAAGAGGGACTGTAGAAATAAACCAGTCTATATACTTTAGGAATGCCTACACTTTAAAATGGAAGTCAAACAATGTATTTGTAAAATGGAACTTAAAAGTTTCATTGCTTTGGAGAAGAGGTTTTGCTTTTGTTCCCACAGGAGATGAGAAGCTGTGAATTCCTTCAGGATTAATACAAATCAGGTTTGATCAGGGGCAACCTCCTGAACCTTGACAGGTGATATCTATCAACAAAGGTAACAGCTGGCTTCCGACTTGGCCATTATCTCAAATTTCTCAGGTACCCCTAAAGATGCCTTTGCTACAGACAACAGGAATCAGTCAAGAGTAAACAATGTCCACATTCCCAAGATTTTGGGGAGTGCTATTTTGTTAATGGATGTTTTCTATCATTTAGGGGAATACAGGAATATAGGATAAAAATACAAGTATGAGTCTCAGATATTTTACATTGGCATGGATTTTGGTATATTGATACAAATTTAAAGTTATTTTGTTAATATATATATATATATATATATATATATTTCTACTCTTGCTTGGGGTATTGTGTTTATGCAGCTCATTTCAAACTGCAATATATAATTAGGAAATGAGATTAGTAGTTAGCCTATAATATTTAAACTTTTAGTCACATTAGGTATGTTTTCAAGGTTAAATAGATATATTTAGGTAGATAAATGATCTTCACTTAATTTAAATACCCATAGAATATGATATTTAAAATGTTTTGTTAACTTAGAACTTCTCATGACAATTAGACGTATCTGCTCCTGGTAGTACCAATTTACTTCAGAGAATATGATGGGCATTGAAGAAACTCCACATAAGTTGTTTTCAATATGGCAAGGCTAGCCATTTGGGCAAAAAAACTGCTTTTCCTTGACTGCTGACAGTATGCTGTTTAAACTGGACGTGCAAAAGCCTCTGGAAAGTGACTGCTGAACTTGTCAAAACAAGATGATACCATTCTTCAGGGTTCCTGCTTCATGAAAGACTCTGCCAGACATTCTGCAGAACACAGAAGAAAACGACTGGCAAACTGCCAATATAGGTAAAATGGTCTTTCATATTTCCTGATTTATGGGAAAGTGTGCCAGATACTATAGGCCTGTAGGCTGAAGATGGATTCCCTAATGTTGCAGAGGAACTTTGGGTGACTATAAAGGCGGATGTCTCTGTTGTTAAGTAATATTAATTCCTTCTGGTATCTTTGATGGAGTTAAAAGACAAAGTAATTAGAATTTCAGCTTTTTCATTATGATAGAATGTAAGTTAGGTATAAAACATTGCACCTCACTAAGATAGATAATGTGGTGTTTTCTCTGAATTTGCTAAATACAAATGGATTAAATATTATAAATGTAATTCTTATTTGATAACTGTTTTTGTTGCGTGTAGTTTTACTATGTTAAAGTTAAAACCTTTCATTTTTATTTAGACAAAAAGGGGAACTTGTTACTCTCACAGAGGACTCAGTACCTACAAAGAAGTTCACAACCATCTGTAACTCCATTTCCAGGGTATCAGATGCCCTTTTGTTCTCACCATGAATTCCAAGCAAGCACATGGTGTACATGCATACATGCAGGCAAAATACCCACACATAAAATAAGATGAATAAGCTAATAAAAATATCAAAAGAATGGTGGTTAGCAGATTCTGGGTAGTGTAGAGGATTAGAATAGTTAATTGAAATGGGATGCTGATGGACAGAGGGAGTCAACTGTAATGCTCTACATGGCAACGTGATAACTATGGCTAACAACAACTATAATTGTCTATTTCAAAATTGCTACTGAGTTGGATTCAGAGCATTACCAGCACAAAGGAGTGATAAATGTTTGAGGCAATTAAAATGGCAATTACCCTAATCTGATCATTAAACATTGTATACATTGCAGAAACATCACATTGTATACCATCACTATGGACAATTATATGTAAATTAAAATTATAAAATTAATGAGAGAAAAAATAGCTAATACTTCAAAGCAGTTTGTCCTTTCAAATATGGTAAATATTGTTCCCATTACTTGAATCATAGGTATTGTATGCCTGTTTAGATGAATTCTACTCTATAACAAGGCTTTTAAATGTGAGATTTTTCTGTTCAGTTGCCATAAACAATACCATAGACTGAATATCTTAAATGATAAAGAGGGAATTTCTCATATTTCTAGACGCTAACTCCAAGGGCAAAGTATAAGCAGGGAAGGTTTTATTCTTAGGTCTTAACTCACGAACACCAGAAAATGTTCCCTCCTGCATTGCTGTTAAGCCACCAATCATATTAGATTTGGCTTTATTTATTTTTATTTACTTATTTATTTGAGACACGCTGTATGGAACTCTGGGCTAGGTTGGAACCTGTGACTATCCTGCCTAAGATTCTGAGGTTCAGGATTACAGGTATGCATTACCACACATGAATGCCGACCTCTTTTTTACAATATAATTGAACCTTACTTATGCTCTAGAGATCTTATATGCAACTATAGTTACATTGGGGATAAGGTTTCAATTTGTTTGGGGGACACACAGTTCAAACAACAGCACTATATACTGGCCTCTAACATTTTTGCATTATAGGTAAGCTAAAATTTTTCTGCATTTTTAAATTATTCTTCATTCAAATCATTTCTCTCTTTTTGTGTTTTACCGTAAGCAATGTTGAATAACCAAGCCATTTCTTCACACTTTAGCTTAGAAATCTACACCACTGGTTTAGAAGCGGATATACAGCTTTGTGGCAGATTTCTTGCCTAGCAAGGGTCAAGTCATCAACATTACAGCAGAAAAAAAGAAAAGGAAAAAAAGGAATATAAAGTTACTTGTATGTATATGTTTTCAGGGCTGATCAA